CAGGGTTTAGCACAGGCTTTTAGTAGGCACATGATAATTCAGTGAATTTTGTGTGTTAGGTTCATACCAAGACTTCTGGAAGATGAGCAAGACAGGAAGTGTGTAAAAGGGTGTTTTAGAGTCACTAATCTAATAGCATCATGTGCGATGAACTGAAATTTAAGACAGGGAAGTAGATTAAGTAGAAAGCTGCAGCACAGTCTAGGCTTCCACCAAAAGTCCCCTACTAGAAGGAGTGATTATAAAACTGGAAAGGGAAAGTCAAACCACCACGATGGCTTTTCAAGTCAGCTGAAGGGCTAAATGAATAACATTTCCTGTGACGGAAATGAGGAAGGTGAGAAGAAGATGATGTGGACCAGGCAGAGCAGCAACAAGAAGTAGTGGTTCTGGTACCAAACCTGTTGAAATTCTTATTGGTGGGCCTGTCAATCAGAGCTCTCTTATAGACTCTCAAAGATCCAGGACTAGGGTACTTAGCTAAGTGGACTGGGGATGCAGGAGAGGAAACATTTGCAGAATCCCTACAGTGGGGTCAGACACTACTATGCTAGGTATTTTACTTATCAAAAAAAATTTTTTTATTATTAGTTGTTCAAAACATTACACAGCTCTTGACATATCATATTTCATACATTTGATTCAAGTGGGTTATGAATTCCCTTACTTATCAAATTGTAATTTATATTTCAGAATTATCCACATTTTAGTCATAGAGAGGATAAAGAATTCCATAGTTAGATCCAACCGCCCCCACTGCTAGCTACACAGACTTAAAACAGTTTATCCTCCCCATAAACTATAGTTTTATCATGTAAGAAATTAGAATGCTATTTACCTCAATGAATTGAAATAARTTATATAATTCATAAACAGTAAATAGCATGGTACCTAAAATATAATTAAATGCAATAAAGAAGTATTGATTAGTAATGGGTTAAAAAAACAGAATTAACAACCATCTTTGGGGATGGTCTGTATTAAAGGATAGAGGATTTAAAGATATTGAAAAGATGAAATGGTGTTCACGAAAATGGGAAAAAAAAAAACCTCAAAAACACAATATTTTGGAAACCATGAGGCAAACGGTTTCATATTTGAAGGTACTTAATCAAGTCTAGTAATGATAATGGAGAAATGGGTCCATTTGGCACTGAATGTTCTTCYCATAATAAAAGAAACGACTTACCCAAAGTTGGTCATCCATGCCTGGAGGATTCTTTTTGATAAAAGCACCATAGTATGTAGCAATATTCCGGTGATGAGAATATTTCTTCAACATGTTAATTTCTTGCTTGATTTCTTCCTCTTCATCCTAGAACAGTAAAGAATCTGTCRTGAAAATCCATGGTCTATAGTGGAATTCCATCCTTCAAACCATGGATATCAACTAAACTGGTAAATTCCTTCTTAACGTCTTTTCTTTCAGGCGATAAAAGAGCATAATTATTATTTCTGACTAAAATGAAAAAGTTCACAAAACCACACAACGGTGGCCCAAAGGGGTCTTCTTTTAGTCCAGCTAACAGGTATTGCACGTAATCAGCTGGGGAGATGAAGGTGGTCAGGCTGTTAGACAGTCCACATTAGGCCTCTGGAACTAGGCCCAATGAGCTACTATCACTGGTCACATCTGCTACGGGAAAGGTTCAGAAAAGCGAAAGAGAAAAACACAGGCTCTCAGATTTAAATTTGGTTAGGTTCATTTTCTTTGAAGCCTGCCTTTATTGAAGTGCCTGAGTGAAGGTGATGAAAGTCAGAAGGGAAAAGGAGCAAAGTAAGTTCTCGGGATCTGAGGAAGTTCACAAAGCAGGAGTACCTACATCACCTTCAGGAAACTCAACATGAAAAGGAAAGGGGAGATGTGGTGGGGCCCAGGATGTAAAAGGAGACAACTCCCCTACAGAGTTAGTTTCCTGATATTCAAGTTTCATTCATTTTGAGTTTCAACTTGGAAAATCTACCAAAATTCCTGGTGGAGAGTGTGTGTTCTCTCCTAATTTTATTTTATGGATGGGTACATATCAGTTGGACTGAGAAGTAAGTGTTTTAATTTGGAGGTTGTTGTAAAAGACTTCTGCCTCAAGATAATTATTTTAGATGCCGTCTTAAAAGGGGACTATTCCTCCATGTAAGATGTTACAGTACCATGATTGAAAGACCTGCCTGGTATGTCCCCTGTATGCACTGTCAGTCCCTCCCAGCTGCCTGGCCTCCTTCCAGTGTATCTGGGGCCTTCTGTAGTTTCCCATGTGTGATGTCTTCTTTCCTTCTTCTTCCTCTTCTTTTCTACACACCATTCCTGATTGAGTTAAGTTGACACCCAGAGATGTCATCCTGATTCTATCAAGCAATGTCCAGTTCCCCGACTAAATGTTGTCACAGCCCACTACTGTTCTTCATGCTGAAATGCAGCTCCCTGTGCCATAATCGCCCTGTTGCTTACTCTCTCCTCCATAGAAAGGCCTCTTCCACTTCAGATCTCAGTTCTAGAGTTCCTACTGGCCAAGCTGCCTGATCTAACAATCTTGGTTCTAGCCACAGGAATTACCATGCATCTCCCTTGCAGTAACTATCAGAAGTGCCACTCCTACAAGTCTGCAGCAACCGTGTGCCCAGGAATCCTGCCTGTGTTTGTCTCTCTGTCCCATCTCAAGCACCCAGCAAAGTGCCTGTGAACAAAAGTGAATACAAGAAAGAAGACCTGCAAAGGGTCCAACACTTAGAGCAAGACTAGTGATGTTCAAAGAACCAGCAGGAATAGAAGGAGGACAGTGGGAGAATGCTAACATTTCCTGACCAAACAAAAGTGTTGGTGAAAGAAAATGAAGATTGCAAACCCAGGAGAACTAAAGCATATTACACACCACGAGACACAACTAAATGGAACACTAGGTGATCTCAAAATAGAACATATGATAGGGATGCTGAGCTAAGGAGGTGCATGTGGCCCCAGCACTGAGGAAGAGAGCTGAAGTTAGAGGAGCTGGGATGGTGGCTGAGGGCATTACTGGCACACTGCTGACCCACGCATCTTCCCTGCAGTAGTGGGAAACCGCCCACGCCTTCGCTGCAGGCCGACGGGAAGAATGACCTTCACATATCTTCCATTTGTGGAAGGGTCCGGGCAGCACACCACAAAAGCCTTACTACAGTGTGCATCAGCTATTTTAAACTCGCAGTGTGGAGCCAAATAATTGTGCATGAATGTGAGATGCGAGCAGATGTACTTCGGGGAAGCCTAAGTAGAAGGGGWGAAAACCAACTTGAGGGTTTCTGTGGAGAGCACGGCCCCATCGCTGACAGCTGCTTTGATTAAAAAGGCAACTATGTGAGGCACTGAAAGAAAGAGATCACTTTCTAACAGCAGCTGACAGTCTTGGCTTCGGCCATCCTTAGTGAGAAGGCAAGCAGGTTCCACAAGTACTTGCTTCCTGCCTCTTGGGTGCTCTGCAAGATGGTGGGTAATGTGCCCTAAAAAAGCTTACTGTATCATTAAGAAAATTAAGAGCTTATGAAAGAGCCAAAAAACAGTGTAATTTAGTATGGAATTAAGTCTACAATAAATAGTGTTGGAGGTTGCTATGAAGTCAGTACATTCTCTATCACTTTGCAAAGGTAAACTGAGGCAATTAGGAACATGCAGGAAATATATGCATTGATTTTGGGGTTAGAAAGATGGGGGGGTTAGCATATGCATGACTCTGGGCTTGATCACTAACACCGMAAAAAGAAAAAGAAAAAAAGAAAGATGGGGGTGGGAAGGTAGGCACATGTTGTAAGAGCTCAGGAAAGTAACCTACCTTTTTGGAGCCTAAGTTTTCTCATCTATATTGAAATACAGGTATTATAAGTCCCAGTTTTTTGAGATAATTAAATAAGATGAAAGTTATAAAGTGTAATACAAAATAAACATCATTGTTAATGTTTTCAACTAAAGTAAATAAACAACAACAACAAAAAAAAGGTAGGAGAGCAGGAATGCTAGTCATTTGAATTTCAAGTTTAAATTGCATTGTTTCCAAACACAGTTATGGAACATTGGGTCATGGTCATGTAGCTCCAACAGTCAATTTTGATCTTGACCTTCTATGGCCCAGTAAGTGAGCATGCAATTTATCAGGGCTTCAGGGACCCTATTTATCCAGATTTCTAGTCCGAGGCACTAATGGCAGTTAGTGATTCAGTGAAACAGGGAGGATCTTACTAGAGATGACAAGAATTCATTTAACCATGACACAAATGGTCCAGCCAGTTACAATATGGCCCATTGAAGGAAATGAGTTAGAATGTTTCCAAGAGAACAACTGAGGCTAGAATTAGACTAAACAGTCTTAGAAGAAGAGTCATCAGCTATTGTGTAAGTATTCCTACAACTTAATTACTAGGCACAGAGACAAGATCACTGAGAAGCTACCTCATAACAAAAAATAGTGGAACCCAGTTGTCTGAAGTTTAAAAAGAAGAGTAATTTTAATAAGCCAAGTCCAGTACTTTAGGAAGATCTATTACTTCAACCAAAAGACTTCAAAATCAATTCTGATTTATTGTGTTAACTTTAGGCACGACATTTAAACTCTAATGTCAAGTTATTTTCAGCTGTAAATGGGAATAAGAAACCTGTTGAAGTCCTTCTGAGGCTTAGAAATGATGCAGTTCTGACTGAATTATAGCTTTAGAATCAACATAAAGGAGCTTTGAGGGTTTTTTCCTTTGTTTGCCCTTAAGATCATGGGAATCTGTTTATTTTTTAGTATTGGTGGTAGACAGAGGGAAAAAATGGCTGATATTTGACTGTCCCCAACAAAGGTGGCAGCTAATACTTTTCTTAAAATGGGGTTTGGCCACATGAGTTGCTTTGACCAGCAGGACATTAACAAATGTCCTGCAGCAGAGACACGGGAGGCACTTGTGCTTTGGGGATGGCCCTCTACTGCTTACAAAAAATCCTTCCAGCATGTAGGAACTGGCCTCCAGAGGATGAAAAACTGTGCAAAGAGATGGCAACTTTCAAATGCAAACAAACTGGTGATTCTAGGCCAGGCTTTCAAGCTGGTGACAACCTCTGATGGCAATATGATGCTCAGACTATGTTCATAAAGTATAGCCAAAGCCAACCAGACATAATGTTCATTGTATACCATGGGTTGTGTATGCACTATCTCATTTAATACTCAACACAGCTCTATGGTGTCAGTGTTTCCTTTTTAAAGCATATTTTGTATTTGTTCTGACTCGTTCTAGATGACAGTAGAATGCTTTTTGACACATTATATATAAATGCAGTGTGAATTCTCATTCATTTGGTGGTACATGATGTAGTTACAAAATCACATGTGCACATAGGGTAATGATGTCTTTTCATTCTACTGTCATTCRTACCCCCATGCCTCCTCCCCTTCCTTCTCTCCCCTCTATCTAGCTGCAATCTCTTTATTCTCTCCCCACCCCTTAGTATGAATAAGCATCCACATAACAGAAAACATTCGGCCTTTGGTTCTTTGGGATTAGCTTATTTCACTTAACATAATATTCTCCAGTTCCATCCATTTACTGGCAAATGCCATAATTTCATTCTTCTTTAAGGCTGAGTAATATTCTTTAGTGTATATATACCACAGTTTCTTTATTCATTTATCTGTTGAAGGGCACCTAGGTTGGTTCCATAGTTTAGCTATTGTGAATTGAGCTGCTATAATCATCGATGCTGCATCACCGAAAAGTATGCTGTTTTTAAGTCCTTTGGGTATAAAGCTAGGAGTGGAATAACTGATGGTTCCATTGCAAGTTTTCTTAGGAATCCCCATACTGGTTTCCGTAGTGGTTGCACCAATTTGCAGTCCAACCAGCAATGTATGAGTGTACCTTTTTCCCCACATCCTCACCATTTATTGTTGCTTGTGTTCTTGATAATTGCCATTTGATGTCAGTGTTTTCAATGATCTGATTTTACAAATGAGGAAAATGAGTCTCAGTTACTTCCCTAAATTCACTCAATTTAAATGTTAAAGCTCAGATCTAATTCGAGATCTGTCAGACTCCAAAGCCAGTAACTCTATACAGAAAACTCCTATATAAAAGGGCAATTACCCACGATGTCTAAAACCAAAGAGCTCTATGAAGAGTTTAGGAGAGACTTAAATCAGGGGTGAAGAGAACCCTGACATTTGTGCTCCAGTTAAAAGAGCCTGTTAGCATACAACAGAACTTGTTTATGCTTAATTTCAAGGAATAAAAGATGGAGTTTTAAGTTTCATATCTATTATATAGGGAAACACATTCTAAGTACCCACAATATGCCAGAATTTAAAAGTG